CGGACTGTGGGTCCACTAAGCAGATCCCATTATCTTCCAGATAAGGGAAGGCCACTTAATGCTTTTATGCCTTGGTTTCTTCATCTCTTTGGTATTTGCACCTCCCTGGGGAGAGGTCACCTTGTCTTGGTGCTCCTCTTCTATTGGACTGTGGGTCCACTAAGCAGATCCCATTATCTTCCAGATAAGGGAAGGAGCCTGGGTTTCAGTTCTGTCCTATATGAGTGGACCTCTCAGCAGGCCACTTAATGCTTTTATGCCTTGGTTTCTTCATCTCTTTGGTATTTGCATTGACCTCTGAGATATCCAGTGCCCTGGATCAGAGTCTAAAGTCATAGACTTGAGGCTTGCCTTAAGATCCTGGAGACTCTGAGTAGGTCATGTAAAATTTTTTGAGGCTTTCCTTCCTCATGCGTGAAACTGGAGCAGGAGGATTTTGTGTAGGGATCTGACCAGGTAATTAAGAACCTCCAGAGCTGCGGGAGCTGTTGTTCCTCCAATGTCCATCATGCATGGGAGAAAATGGACATCAGGTGGCCATGTGAGGCTGGGAGAAGATGGCCAGGCTCTGAGCATGAGACAGCATTGGGGCCTTTGGGGACAGGGCAGGGCTGAATGGAGGGCTGGTCTCATCCAGCCAGGAGAAGAGGGCCAACTGGAGGATACCTCCTGGGGCACATGGCCAGGGCAGCTCCAGTCTCACTGTGGCTATCTACAGAATGTGGCCAGAGCAGTGTCCTCAGAAGAATCAGGGAGGCTGAGACCTATGTGCGAGGCACAAGTTCTGCTCTGGACTCAGGTGATGATTCTGGGTGAGTCCTCGACTTCCCTGAGCCTCAGTTTCCTGCCTATGAATTCAGGATGTGGAACGTGTCCTCCATCATGAAATGATGGGGAGGGAAAAAAAGTGATCAGCTTGGTGAAGGGCACAGTGGTACCCAGCCTGAGGATCAGGAGGCAGGTGTTATCCCCTCTCCTTCCTGTATTACACTTAAAAGCATTTTAAATTTATTTGGCATATAGTAATTGTGCATATTTATGGGGCACAGTGTGATTATTTGATACATGCATACAATGTGTAGTTATCAAATAGGAGGAATTACCATCTCCGTCCCATTAACTGTTTATCATTTCTTTGTTTTGAGTTTAAAAAAAATAATGTTCATTTAGGGTTTTAAAAAAATTTGTGTGAGCCAGGTGTGGTAGTGCACACCTTTAATCCCAGCATTTGGGAGGCAGAAGCAGGTGGATCTCTGTGAGTTTAAGGCCATCCTGGTCTACATGGTGAGTTCCGGGCCATCTGGGGCTGTAGGGAGATCCTATATCAAAAAATAAATCTATATAAGTGTTTTGCCTACATATATGTAAATGTACCACATGCACTACACTGCTAGAAGAAGGTATCAGATCCCTTGGAACTGGATTTACGTGTGCGTTCTGGGAACTGAACCTGGGTCCTCTGAAAGAGCAGTCAGTGCTTTTAACCACGGAACCATCTCTCCAGTCCCTGTTCTGGTTCTTGCAAGCACTTCATCATCTTCATAAAATATAAAACATGAAAAAAATGTTATGGGGGTTGGAGAGATTGATGGCTCAGGTGATAAAGGCTTGCCATAGAAACATGAAGACCTGGGTTCTGGTCTCCAGCACCCTTGTAAAAGTCGGGCGCGGTGATACATGTCTGGAATCCCAGTGCTGGCAACACATGGAGGCAAGTGAATTCCCAAGGCTCACTGGCCCATCAATCTAGCTGAATTGGTGACCTCTGCATTCAGTGAGAGACCCTGTTTCAAAAAATAAGACAGAGAGCAACTGACACAAACACCTATGGACCTCTTGCCTCCACATGCACTAAATAAATAAATAAATAAATAAATAAATAAATAAATAAATAAAGTAAATAATACAGGTTGTTGGCTGTAGCCACCTACCTATGCTGTGCAACGTAGGCTTTATTCCTCCTCTCTAACTTCATTTTGATGTCCATTGCTTGACCTCCCTTAATCTCTCTCTACCTCCCCTTCATAGCCTATGGCTTTCATACAGGCCAAGGGCAAATACTCAGGCACTGAGGTGAGTTTGTCTATTTGTATGTTTGTAGTACTGGAGCTCTAATCCTTGGCCTAGTGCTTGCAAGGCAAAAGCTCTATGACTGAGCCATATCCCCAGCCCTGTGTGGTTTTTCTATAACCTAGTTTCCGCATCCATTGAATGGAGATGATCTACTACTTACTTCGTGAGGCCACTGGGCGATTGGGACTGGTGTTGTTAATGAGGAGTCTGGTAGCTGTCTCACAAATAGATGCTATGTGAGACTTAAGTGCTGATGTTGCCAAATTGTCCCATTGCAATGAAGCCTTGGGCACAGAGCAGCCGAGAACACACAAAAACATAGCCAGAGGATGGGCCAGGACCTCCCAGCACCCTAACCATGCTGACCACCCACTTTCTGCCAAGAAAATCAGGCTGCATTGGGGTGCAAGCTCTAGCCTTTCTGAGCAGATGCTCTGCGTCTTCCTAGGGAGGACGCTCACAGGCCTGAGCAGAGGATAGCATTCTCCTATCTAGCTCTCACACCTCTATACCCTCCTCCAGCAGGGCAGAGCAGTGCTTTGCAAGAATGTGTCGCCTGTCAGGTGAGCCTCTCCTTGTGGTGAAACAAGGATGGGAGTGTTCAGCCTCAAAGAAGCCACCCAGGGGAGGAGGGGAAGGGAGGAAGGGAAAGGTAGCATCTTCACTGGGTCCGAGGCCCGAGGAGGAACTGCGCTGCGGAAATGGGGGGAAGAGGGCATGGAATACCACTATGCCCAATGACTAGTTAGCAGAAAGTAAAACAAAACAATAAACAACAAACCAAACAGAATCCCAGGGTGCCCGATTAGTGTGGAACTTCAGATGAATGGCAGATAATATTTTAACATAAGCGTGTCATATTTAAAGACATAAGCATGTCATAGTTATTTAATGTATTATGACATATTTAATATATTAAACATTCTCTTTTATATGAAATTCAGGACTAATTGGGCATCCTGTATTTTGTTTTTTAAAAGTATATTTATTTTTTCCCATTTTATTTACTTTTTATTTTATGTGTATGAGTATTTTGCCTGTATGTATGTAAGCGTCACAGTGTCTTCCTAGGGAGGACGCCCACAGGCCTGAGCAGAGGATAGCATTCTCCTATCTAGCCCTCACACCTCTATACCCTCCTCCAGCAGGGCAGAGCAGTGCTTTACAAGAATGTGTCGCCTGTCAGGTGAGCCTCTCCTTGTGGTGAAACAAGGATGGGAGTGTTCAGCCTCAAAGAAGCCACCCAGGGGAGGAGGGGAAGGGAGGAAGGGAAAGGTAGCATCTTCACTGGGTCCGAGGCCCGAGGAGGAACTGCGCTGCGGAAATGGGGGGAAGAGGGCATGGAATACCACTATGCCCAATGACTAGTTAGCAGAAAGTAAAACAAAACAATAAACAACAAACCAAACAGAATCCCAGGGTGCCCGATTAGTGTGGAACTTCAGATGAATGGCAGATAATATTTTAACATAAGCGTGTCATATTTAAAGACATAAGCATGTCATAGTTATTTAATGTATTTGTCTCAAAAAACTAATAAAATAAACAACACAAACAAATCCAAACATCTGATAATTTTTCCAAGGGATTTATTTTTTCCCATTTTATTTACTTTTTATTTTATGTGTATGAGTATTTTGCCTGTATGTATGTAAGCGTCACATGCGTGAGGTGTCT